ATACATAAAAACATTAAACTTGATCTATTTTGATCCAATAATACAAATTTAATCCAATACACTACTCAATGTCAAACAACTAACAAATTACAACTTACCTCTCTCTTATCTCTTTTGATCTCTCTCTTTTTATTTTGATTTAAATTGCATGATTAAAAAAAGAAAAAAATAAATTATTATTTAAAATATAAATATTACACTATTAATACTCATAAATATTGAAAATAATGATTATATCATATTTAACAATATTAATGTGACATAACCATTTAATAAACAAACTTGATGTTTTAATATTTAAAAATATTGATGTGACCATCAAGTAGGATGGTCTAATGGGACATGAGTCTTACTTCCCATCTTAAAATTGGAAGTTTGAATCTTGAATTCTCCATTGGGGGCTTGATGGTTGACCGTTATACTAGTCTAGTTAGATCTATTCCTCTATTTCAGGAGTGATCAAGAATTTTATGATCCCACCAGTAAAAATCTATCAGAATAATCGTCGGATACACTTTCTTATTTCCACCTTTTTTTGAAGGACAAAAAAAAAAATATTGATGTGATATAATACTTGGTGTCTCTTCGCCGAAAGTTATTGATAATATTTTTCAGTAGTAGGGTCGCCACGGACAAACCTACTCGTCTAATACTTCTTATCACTCCTTACAATAGTACAGAAAAGTCACACATAGTTGTTGAAACTTTGAACGTGTCCTGCGCCACACCGACTTGACATGTGGTTCCCTAACTCACGATATATTCAAACGACACGATACTTTTAAAACATTGTTCATTAAAAAAAAAAGAAAGAAATATAATTTTGGGACTTATTATTAATCCTATAATTTATATTAATTTGGGATCTAAAATTGAATAAAATATTTAATAAATATAATATTGTTTGTAACAAAAATGACTTCGAAAATGTAGTGGGTTTTTAACTTTTTGAAAAATTGTATTATTTTCAATTCTTATATGTTTTTTTCACGCAAATTTCAATGAAGTAGAAGACTACGATACAAAAAAAAATGGGTATTGTACCGTCATGTATAAATTTTATAATTTTTTTTTATAAATTTTAAAGGTTATTTATAATTTTTAAGTGTACTTAGAATCAATTATAAAATTGCTAGAATTGATTTGAAGTACCCCAAAAGTTATAACCTAATAATTTTATGACCGATCTCAAGTATTTTTAGAAATTGTATATAACTTAAAAAAAATATTATAACTGAAACTTTAAAAATTATAATATGACCCAAATATATATATATATATTTTAAGTAAGAAAGAGACACGACCCAAGACTTCAAAATCATCTATAATGTCAAACCGTTGAACCAAGGCAATTGTGAGATTTGAACCGACACTCTCAAAGGATCCAAGTTCTAATACTATAATATATAAGACTAGCAATTATTCTAAAAACAAACTTAAGACTATGGAAAAATGGTCCCACAATGCATACAAAACTTTCAACATCTTCCACCTATTTTCTCCTCTTAATTAGACCATGGAGGACTTTGAACCTCGGATGTAAAAATGACTTGTATCTACATAGATTTTGACTTCCACCATCTCCCTTCAAATTTTCTATTATATTTTTCACTCAATTTTATTTTACCATGTATGAATGAAGGGTCCATATGTACATAATGGGTCCCACATTAGTTTACATGGTGGGAGATTTATTGGTGAGTAAATTTGTGTGAAAAAAGTAACGGGGAGAGAGTCTCAATCCATTTATAAGACATCCATGATCGATGGATGAATACGAATCTGAGTATACACGATTATATATAAGTCATGTATAAGTTGAATAATTTTTTGACAAGATATAATTTAAACATGTAACATGATGTGATTGATTAACCATTCAAATAATTAGTCTTCTAGTTCCGGGAGTAGGACTTGACTATACTATTGACAAAAAAAAAAAAATTGGTACCGTATCTTTAAATATTATTATTTTAATAAATGTTTTTATAATTTTTGTAACTTATTTTATAACCAAAAAATTTATCATTTTGTGGGTGTTTTTTCGACTACTGTAATGTTTTTACCACTTCTCTTTGATACAAAAAAAAAAATTATTACTTTTGTAGACGATTTACTATCTTTGTGGATATTTTTATCACTATTATATAATTTTTCTTCAATATCATAATAATAATAAAAATACTCATAAATATGATAAAATATCGATACAACAATAATTTTTTTTTTTTTTGTACCATAGACAACTCCTTAATTGTATGCACTCTTGTGAGTAATGGTCGCATGTGAAGAAAGGTATCGAAGAACTTGGTACCTATTATTTGAACCATTTTGGGTTTGGTGTAAGTGACAAAAAATGCAAAGCTACTTTACCTAGAAAAGCTAGCAACTATTTAATGCATTCCCATTGAGTTTTTGGACCAAAATTCCTTATCAATTCTAAAGCTAAACCGCATTAGCATAATAGTGATTGGTAAGTGGCAAGTGCAAGATAAAGGACACTCACCAAATATGTTCCATGGTCGTATAAAAAATTAATGTTTTTTATATTATATTAAAAAAACTTATTTTGAGTTATGAATTTTCATTCAAAATATTTGTACTCAATAATCATTAAAACAATTATATATTCCATTTTTGTGAATAAGACTTCGGTACAAACGTATTGAAAATAATTTATAGTTATTAATTTTAGTTTGAATAATTTGAATCTATTAAGTAAAAAAATTCAAACGTTTCAAGTTCTTATTCGATAAAAAATAAATGTATGGTATGAAGAGTTAGACTCTAATTTTTAAATTTATTTACAAAAAATAAAAATTATAATTTTTTAAGTCATGTTATAAATTTTATGAGTCATCTTTCAACTTTTGAGGCATTTTTTTATGACTTTTAGAGGTACTTAAGATCAATCATACTCTAAGTAACTCCAAAATTTAAAAATTTAATCATGAAACTTATGAATTAGGGTGTAATATTAAATAATTTTTGGCTAGTAATATTAAATAATTTTTGGTTAATAATATTATTTAAATTTAATTTATTAATCTAATTTATCATATTTATTAAATTAATTTATAATCTCAATAAATACTAAAATTTATTGTCAATTCAATAATTATATCAATAAATTAAATTTAAATATGTATATATTTTATTTTAATCCTCACCACGTTATTATTAAGACAAAGAGGAGATTAATGAATGCGCTGTTGTGCGCGTGAAAGGCACGACCCAGTCATCGAACGAATTATAATTGTTAAAACAAGTCAGAATCATAAAGGAAAGCAATGTGGAAATTCACTTGCGAAATGACTCAAAAGGCTTTGGAATGAAGCATTTGTCACCATCCATTTCAGACGACAAGTCTTATTTACTTGTCTCTCTTTGGCAGTTGTCCAACCTTATCTTCTACCGAGTGAACTCACGCGCTTTAGCCCTTCGAATTGACCATCAACTGAGTTCAGCTACAATGGCAGTACCCTCATAATAGTTATCATGCAACCCTCACCCATCTTTTTGTTTTTTTTGTTTTTTGATACGATATGGTAGTTGTAGAATTTTTTATTTTTTATTTTTTAAAAATATAGTTCAAGAAGACTATTAGTTTATGACACGTTTTGTGAATGGTTTGTTTGCCTGGATCTTAGTCTGAACCATATACGAATTTGTTTTATCCGGATATCAATTAAAAGTTTAATTCATTAATTCGATCTGATCCGAATCCGTTTAATTTTTATTAAACGAATTTGAATTTGGATATATATTAATTAAATCTAGTAAGAATTCCCCTCCCTACGGCTGTTCTTTTTCCCTTTATTTTCACTTTTTGTTATTGAATTAGGTGAATAGATGATGAAATTAAATTAAAAATGTTGGAATTAGGTGATTTATTGATGAAAACTAAACTAAAATTTAGCAATAATTTGATGAAATATTTTATTATTTGAGTAATTTTGTAGAAATTCAATTTATTCAGATTGGATCGGATTATCAGATCGAATGTTCAATTATTAATAGGTTCGAATTTGAATTATGATATTGATATCCTTCGTATTATCAGATCGAATTGAGATTCAATTTTTTAAAACAAATTTGAATTTGCACTGATTGAGATTTGATTTGAAACTGATCCGTTGACAAACTTACTTATTATTCTGAATTCGACGTAGCTGGTAAAAAAATAAAATTTTGATTAAATTATTCAATATAATTGCTAAAGTTGACTTAAATTCATAATGATATGATTCTGACTCAATTGCTAGTGTACTTTCTTTTTATGCTGAAGTGATAATGTAGGTACATCATCCATGATCCAACTTAATAGATATGAGAATCCACGGAAACCACATGAGGGCGTTCCCACCCTATCATCTGCCCAACTCAAAGACGGTAACTTCTCTTCGAAAACCCCGCAAATCCAGCCGAATATAAATCCACATTAGACGTGCTAAAGACGCCGAAAAGTGATTCTACTTATCAGACAAAAATGTAATATGCCATTGGACTTATCAGACTATAAGTACTACTACTTATCTATGCCTCTTCGCCATATCGTAGACCCATATCGTCTCGCACTATTTATTTTGTCTGATAGGGGGTTCTTGGTTCTTCGCTTCACATCTCTCTCTCTCTCTCTCTCTCCTCTCTTCTTCAAATCCCTAGCTAGAAAGAGAAAGCTTTTCTAGAGAGAGAAACAAAGTAGCAAAAGTCTCTGTCTCTGCAAAACCCTCCGATCTGCTTTTTTCTCTCTCATTCATTCAAGGTAAGGAGCAAAATTCTTAGACCTATATATAAATATATATATACGTGTAGCCATCCAAATATGATGCACATGTATATGTGTGATGTATAATTAGTTGGTATGTTTTTGCGAAGTGAAGAATTGGGAGCGAGGACTGTATTTTTTGGGGATTTTTATTGAAATTTCGGTATTTTTTTTTATATTGAATGTTTTATTTGGTTAACTAAGCAATTACTTCATTATGTTATTCGGGCAGATGTCGTCGCTCAGCAGAGAACTTGTATTTCTTATACTTCAGTTTCTGGATGAAGAGAAATTCAAAGAGACAGTTCACAGGTAGGGTTTAATTTTAAATTTTTTTCCCAGTGCATAATATGCAAATATATGTGTATTTTCGATCTTTATGTTTGTGTTTGATTGCTGAGAAAATGAAGGTAAAGGTAAGAGATTAAAGTTTGGAAGTTATATTAATTTGGATTCAAAGAGCTTAACTGAATTTAAAATTACTACTGAGCTGAGAAACATCATAATCGGGTAATTCCAAAATTGATTTCGTTTTAGTGGTTCATTTTTGAGCATTTAAGTAGTTTTTGTAATACGGTAATATTATGCGTTATCTGGTGCCGTTGTTTGAATCTAATTACTCATATGTTCTGTATTTATGTGCTGTAGGTTGGAGCATGAGTCTGGGTTTTTCTTCAACATGAGACATTTCGAGGAAATGGTGACGAATGGTGATTGGGATGAGGTGGAAAAGTATTTGTCTGGGTTTACTAAGGTTGATGACAATAGATACTCAATGAAAATTTTCTTTGAGATCCGAAAGCAGAAATACCTAGAATCCCTAGACAAGTAAGCCATGACGGTGTAGTTGGAATGTGCATTACATGTCTCATTGCCTCAGCATTCACTTTGGTCTCTTGTGGCTTATATAAACTGATTTTACATGTCTTTTTGTTCTTAATTATAGGAAGGATCGTGCTAAAGCTGTTGATGTTTTAGTTAAGGACTTGAAAGTGTTTTCGGCTTTTAATGAAGAGCTGTTTAAAGAAATAACACAGCTTTTGACTTTGGAGAACTTTAGGTGTGGAAGAACTTATCTTTGAGTGTTGTTTTATCAGTGATTTATTATTACCAACCTTGTTTATCAAAGTGTTTCTGTATATTTTCATGGTTTTAATTTGATTATGTAATAAATTGCAGAGATAATGAGCAATTATCAAAGTATGGAGACACCAAGTCAGCCAGGGGTATAATGCTTGCTGAACTCAAGAAGTTGATTGAAGCAAACCCCCTTTTTCGTGACAAGTTAAACTTTCCTATCTTGAAGAACTCCAGACTGCGGACCCTGATTAATCAAAGGTTACTGTTTTGTGGTGTAGGGGTTATTTCTTCAGTTTATGAGTGAAGATATTTGTTTTGTCTTGACATTCATCTCTCTTGTGTTGCAGTTTGAATTGGCAGCATCAGCTTTGTAAAACTCCAAAGCCTAATCCTGACATAAAAACCCTGTTTGTAGACCATTCTTGTGGACAATCACAGCCAAATGGTGCTCGGGCCCCCTCCCCCGTAACTAATCCTCTAATGGGTGCTGTTCCCAAGGCGGGGGGGTTTCCACCTCTGGGTGCTCATGGGGTGAGTGAAACTAAGAAAGATTTACTCCATTGGAATTAAGTTATTTGTACTTTCCAATCTTCAAAAGCTTGACTTAATTTTTGTCTCTTTAGCCATTTCAGCCAGCTCCGGCTCCACTGCCAACATCTCTTGCAGGATGGATGGCTAATCCATCTCAGGTGCCTCATCCTTCAGCTTCCGCTGGGCCCATTGGTTTCATTGCACCTAATAATGCAGGTACTTATGGCATATATCTGTACGTGGAGTAGCTTTGTTTTTTGTATTTTGAGATGTGGCGTAACTGAGTTTTTGCTGGGAAGGATGTTTATGAAATGACACTAATTTTCAATCTATATCCCACCTGACTTGACTTGCTTTTTCTCAAAACTGATGCCTTTTGCTTCTGTGTATTCTCTGTTCTTGTAGCAGCTATATTAAAGCGCCCTAGGACTCCTCCTGCAAACAACCCAGCCGTGGACTATCAAACAGCTGATTCTGAACATGTCTTGAAAAGATCAAGACCTTTTGGAATATCTGATGAAGTATGGCATGACCATCCTAATTTATTTATTTGTTGTGGACTTCATTGGGAGTACAAGCTCTATTACTAAAATTCAGAGTTTTTTCGTATTAATCTATACTACTATTAAAAGTACCTTAACATGGAAAACTTTTGATTCACTATTTTACCCTTATAAAAAGCTATAAAGGCTAACATGTCATTTTGTATTTAAATATATAAATTATTATTATATCCCTATGTATTTAAATAGGAAATTAATCTCTAACAAATCATGTAAATCTCTTTATCTTTGTAAAACTTTTGAATGGTCATGTTTAACATGATATATATAAAAAGTATTATTCTTTTTTTTTTTCAAAATCCAAATATTAATACATGTCCATAACTCTATTGATACAATATCATTTCTAATGCCTAAAAATGAATATATATAACTTTTTTCTTTATTCACAATCAAAATAATTTAGTAAAAAACTATTGAAAAATCTCTAATGCCAAAAAATGGATATATATATATAATTTTTTTCTTCATTCATAATCAAAATAATTTAGTAAAAAACTATTGAGGCACACAGTAAAAACAAAAAAAATCGAAAAAAAAAATCTATAACCCTTACTATTTGATAACTCGAATGAAAGAATTACAGAAAATGAGTCAATTGGATTTTAATAGTTATGAAGAGAATATAAATAATTTAAGTATGATAAATATAAGATAATATCTAATTTTACTATATTATTAGATTTTTTTTGTGCGTTTTATCAAATATTTCAATAAAAAAATTTACGTGTAACGCACGTAGTGCATTGCTAGTTTTATAAAATATCCCTTTGCATAACTCGAGCCTTGAAGATGCATATGAATTCATGATTGCGGGTCTTAGATGTGTGATTTATTCAACTGCTGAAAAATTGTGTTTAGTTTGTCAGAATTGGGATTTGATTTTTTTTTCTTCATTCAGTGTGTGTAGTAATTTACATTAGTCCTTTATTTATGTAAATGTGCCATGTTCTGGCTTTCATTACTTAGGGAGTAGTTTAGATTCATTTTAACTTCGATTGTAGACTGCTCCCTTACTGTTAAACGACAGGTTTTGTGGTTAGTTCAATTGTGTAAGCAATTTATTATTTTGGTAACAATATTGTAATTGGAGAAAAATCAGTACACAAGTGAAGGAGGGTGTCTCCTCCTAAAAAAACATTAAAAAAAAACTATCCTCCTGATTTAAAAAACCTGAACTCTAGCCAAAATAAGCATTCAGTATATCATCTGCATGATGTGAGTGATTTAGGTTTCTGCTTTACTGTCCGGAAAGGTGGTTTATATTTTAGTGTTACCGAGGCATTTTTCTTGTTGAAATGGAAGCAGCATATTTGATGGCAGGATAGTATTTGGTGTAATGAGGACGACAGTGAATTATCTCATGCTAGTATTAGGAATTAATTGAATCAAATTGTTGATAGGCATCTGCTTTTTGTTCCCTGTTTATTTAAGGTTGCAGTAGCATCTAATTTTAGACTGAAAAGTAGGTTATGTAAGTATACAAGCAAGATTATAACAATTATGCAAGATGGTTAAAATGGCTTGACTTGGAGCATTGATTGCTTTAGATTGAAGCAAAGAATAGAGAAACGAAAGGAAGAACTTTTGGTTCTGGTGTCATCTCATACAGTTCTCCATATATGCTCTTTCTTTTGAGGTTCCATTTATTGTGTTTTTGTGCATTCGCACAAATACACATCTGATGTGTAACGTTGTCTTATCTACCTTACAATTTTTGTGCATGTTATTTGTTTGACATTGAATGCCTGAAGTTTATTTCGTAAAGGGTCTTGCCTTCGCACCAATTGACGATGTTTGTTGAGATTGACCAATTGTACTTTTGCACCTTATAATTCTTAGCAGGTCACTAATATTCCTATCAATATTTTACCTGTTGGATACCCCAGTCAGAGTCATGGTCAGAGTTCATACTCGTCCGATGACTTGCCCAAGGCTCTTGTGATGACTCTGAATCAGGGTTCACCCGTCAAGAGTATGGATTTTCATCCTGTAGAGCCAATCTTACTTCTTGGTGAGCTCCCACCGGCCATAAAGAATAGAATTTATATTCTAGCTTCATTTTTCAGTTTTGGTTCTGTAGACTTATAGAAGCTAGATATCAGATGTACTTGCTGATGTGTGTTAATCTTTAGTTGGAACAAACACGGGAGAGATCATGGTGTGGGATCTAGTTAGTCGTGACAGACTTGCTCATAGAAGTTTCAAGGTTTGGAATAGCGGAGCATGGTCAATGGCTCTGCAGGTTTGGCTTCCAAATCAAACCAAACTTCAGTGAATATAATTATGATTGATTCATCTATGTTTTCCAACTTTTGAGTATTTTTTATGTTCTTAAGAGTCACTTTGACTGATTTTTGAATTTTATATTAGGCATCTCTTGCTAATGACTATACTGCATCAATTAACCGTGTGATTTGGAGTCCTGATGGCACCTTAATTGGTATGTATATGAGTAGGGGATCTGTGTACATTGTAGTATTTATCTGCCTTCATGCTTACATGCATCCTAGAAAACACGCTACTTCTCACCAGGAATTTTTTTTTTTTTTGAGGGTGACGATGGGCATTGTTTTGATATTTCTTGAACCCACTTCAGGTGTTGCATACTCCAAGCACATTGTGCACATATACTCCTACCAAGGTGGTGATGATCTAATAAGAAACCACCTAGAGGTATGTGCTTGTTCTCATCTTCTTGGGAGTTCTTCTCTCTCTCTTTTTGATAGTTTTTTTGGACTTAATAAACTATATGTCTTTATTGTTTAGGCCTCTCCCTCTGTTGTTTGTTATAAGTCGAATGTACATAACTAATACTAACACGATCTTGATCAAATTGGTTATCCAGATTGAGGCGCATGTTGGTAGTGTCAATGATCTTGCTTTTTCTTATCCAAATAAACAACTTAGCATCGTCACATGTGGGGAGGACAGGCTCATTAAGGTTTGTTTACTTTCTTATCATTGGTTTCTGTAATATGGGAAGAGTTGGATTTCAGGCAGTTGAGTTTCTACGTTCTACAGGTATGGGATGCAGTAACAGGGATCAAGAGGTATTCGTTTGAAGGTCATGAAGCACCTGTATATTCTGTATGCCCACATCACAAAGAAAATATTCAGGTGTGATTAATTTTGTGTATGTTTTAATGGAAGCCTGCAAGCTGTAGTTCTGCTAGCTTCACCACCTAATCAAATTACATCTTTTTCTGAAATTTTATGAGCAAATATGAGGAATTGTATGCAGAAACTTTTTTATTTAGGGTCTTCTTGTGATGAAACTTTGATAAGACTGATGATTTGCTGGTCTGTCTGTTATGTGATCACCTTTTTGTTTTTAGTTATATCCTTTAGAGACTTATTAGATATTCCTTCTCTCTTTCTTTCTTTTTAAATTCTTGCTGGAATTAGTTGGACTGCATGCCAATGGCTTGTATGTGTGCCCCAGTGGATCTGCGCCAAGTTGCATTAATCAGCTTTTGAGGTCTCAATCACATTTGTATGCATCAAAGCCTTGAACATTACGTTTTATTATTTCAATTGACATGTAAATGATAACAGGTGTAATACCTCAGGACTGGGAATTAATAGTTTTTTATGTGATCTGGCGTTCAAAATTAGTTGTGAGTAGAAGTGATTAGAACAGGAACATTGCTAGCCAGGGGCTCGGCATATAAAAAGCGTATAGGACTGTAAGTCATTGGAATTTTTTGGAACGTGATTTGTCATTGCTCATGATTCTCGAACAGGTGTGTTTGTAGAACATGACCAAGCATTTTTTTTGAAGTGTCCTCCCTGCCTCCTTGTGAACTTAGATGTCTCTCGCACTCATTTGAAGGGAACTTTCCTTGTGTTATTTTAATGCATTTATCTTACAATTGATCTTTTATATATCTGTTGTATTTGATTTGTTTGTATTTTCTTTCCCTTCTCACCTCAGTTTATCTTCTCAACGGCAATTGATGGGAAAATAAAGGCATGGTTGTATGACAACATGGGTTCAAGGGTTGACTATGATGCACCAGGTCATTCATCTACCACCATGGCATACAGTGCTGATGGAACAAGGTTCATAAATGATTTATATCTTACACTATTCTGATTTCCATTTCTTGTTATTAATGAGTTGACTGTTGCTGCATATCTTTTAATGATATCTCTGTTTGATCCTATATTGGGTAACTCATAGGTTGTTCTCATGTGGGACCAACAAAGAAGGAGAATCATATATTGTCGAATGGAATGAAAGTGAAGGAGCTGTGAAGCGTACATACATTGGTCTTGGTAAGCGATCCTTAGGTGTTGTGCAATTTGATACCACTAAGAATCGATTTCTGGCTGCTGGTGATGAGTTCATGGTCAAATATTGGGACATGGACAATCTTAATCTATTGACAACCACTGATGCAGAGGGTGGATTACCGGTAATAGTCAGATGTTTCAGTCGATGAAAATATTTCTGACACTTTACCTGCTAACCTAACCAACCATCCTGTTGTTGATGAATCTCTAGGCTTCTCCTTGTATCCGATTCAACAAGGAAGGGATATTGTTGGCCGTTTCAACAAATGAGAATGGCATTAAAATTCTAGCAAATACAGATGGGTTTAGGCTACTGCGAACTGTGGAGAATCGTTCATTTGACACTTCTAGAGTTGCCTCTGCGGCTGTAGTGAAGGTAAATGGGTCTTTAAGATTGATAGCTTTTGTGTAAGAATGTTATTGAAATGCATCATTTATATACAGGCCCCCATTATGAGTATGGGCACATTTGGTGCTCCTAATGCAACTGGTGGATCCGGCATTGTAGATCGAGCTACTCCGATGGCATCCATGGTGGCCCTGGTGAGTGTTGCTTTCTTATTTGAGAGGAAGCCAACTTTTTCCATAGATTGCACCACATACTTGATTGGACGTACATTCACTGAAGTCATGGCGCATGAAGTAATCACCGTTTTTATTTTGAGTTCTTGTAGAATGGCGATAATCGAATGTTGGTGGATATAAAGCCCAGAATTGCAGATGAGTCAGCAGACAAATCTAGAATCTGGAAACTGACGGAGATTAATGAGTCATCGCAGTGCCACTCTTTGAGGCTACCAGATAATTTCTCAACAATGAGGGTATGGGTTATATCAGTTCAAGCCTATAAAAGAATAGCTTCTTAATGAATTTTTTAACCCTTAAAACTTAAGTGTCCACTATTTGTAATTAAAAAAAATAACTGTCTGATATGTGATCAAACTCTTAATCTCATGTCTGATTTGTTGTATTACTGGTGGAATGCTGTCTAATTTATTTTATTTTTGACTTCTACTTCCTGCTCCATTTTCTTCTCTCTCTCTCTCTCATGCACAGGCATACCACACACATGGAAAGGAAAAAGAAAAAATTGCATTCTAAATTTAATTTAGTCAATAAAAATATTTTATGGATGCAGTTCACTAAATTTTAACTTGTTTCATACAGCTGATAATTCATTTTTTTGACCGATCATGATCATATTAACTAAATGAAACAGGGGAATTCCATTGATCAAGTTGCATTTGACACGACTGCACAAGCACGCCATTATTCAGTTTTGTCTTAATGATCTAGAGAAAAGGAGAGGTTCATAAATTCAAACTAGCATTCTTCCGTTTGCATTCTTTGACCCCTTCACAACATCAGTTGCAATTTAATTTCTACGCTTAGCCTGTCTTGCATTAGATTTATCTGGGAGTCAAAAATTTAGAAACTTATTGGGCTTTGCTTTTCTTTCTGAACTCATTTTATCTCCTTTTCTGTGTCCTTGCTATTAATTCAGGTTTCCAGGTTGATGTATACAAATTCAGGACTTGCCATACTAGCGCTAGCAGCCAATGCTGTGCACAAGCTCTGGAAATGGCAGAAGAATGACCGAAACCCATCTGGGAAGGTATTCTAACTGCACTAAAAAATTTGCCTTGTTGAATTCGTATGTTAAAGTCTATAGCTTGTGCCTTTACTCAATTTGCCTTTTGTAGGCAACTGCGAGTGTTGCACCACAACTATGGCAACCTTCAAGTGGAATATTGATGACAAATGATACTAGTGATACAAATCCTGAAGATGCTGTTCCATGCTTTGCACTGTCAAAGAATGATTCTTATGTTATGTCTGCTTCGGGAGGAAAAATCTCTTTATTTAATATGATGACGTTTAAGGTAAGTTGCTTTGCTCCTCATTTTCTGTTCTTTGCTCCTACACTTTACTTGGCTTATATCTTACTTCTGCAGCTCTGCTGCTTAGCAGTCATGATGGAGGGATCTATTGGCAAAAAAAAAGGAAATTATGATGTGGGAACTTGTGATGAATAATGACAGTTTTCCTAAGCTCTTTACTTCTATGCAAGGCTTTATCCTCCAGGTCCTAATTGACAATTTGGGATGTTTAATACTCATGCAAATTAGTGGCAGAATAATTGCTCAATCTATGGAGTTTGGCCATGCTTAATTTTTCTTGGAAGGGTGCCCCCCCTCCTCCCTTCTCTTCCTTATTCTGGGCGTAATGGAAGTTATTTTTTCAAAATGATATATGGTGGATGAAGATAATATAGATGACAATTCTAGGCTAAATGACTGAACTTGGAAAAAATTTTGGTGGGATGTTTTTGTATGGGCGGAAATTTTCTGTAGCTCATCTTCATTATTTGTACATTAACTCATTTTTTCCGATGGTACATTTACTGTTTTGCTGTCACCAATGCAGACAATGACAACATTCATGCCCCCTCCACCAGCAGCGACATTTCTGGCATTTCATCCGGAAGACAATAATATTATCGCCATTGGCATGGAGGACTCTTCTATCCAAATATATAATGTCCGGGTTGATGAGGTTGTCCCCAATTTAGATTGAAGCATAAAGTTTGAGAGTCAAATTTCTTGATAGATAAGCATGTTAAATTCTGATATTGCATTTGCACAGGTTAAAACCAAGCTCAAAGGTCATCAAAAACGAATAACAGGCCTTGCCTTTTCTAATTCTCTTAATGTGCTTATATCTTCTGGAGCTGATTCACAGGTAAGAGTTTGGAGGCCTTGTGTAGCTTTTGGATGTTTTTCCACTTGAAAAGCAGAGTAATCTACAATTATGAAAGCCAAAAAACCATAAATTTTGTTCACACATAGCTTTCTTTGGAGCTCTCCACACGTATTGTAGACTTGATTGGAGGGTGAAATTAAATTACTATTATATTAAGTAAAATACATATTTCGTCTTAGACTGTTTCAGGGCTTTTTTGTATTTCAGATTTGTCTCTGACAAGCACCTTATTTAGTGTATTTCATGTTTACTTTGTTCCTTGTAGTCCATGCTCTTCATTTCATGAAAAGTTCATAAATTGGCAATAATTTGCGTATTGGAATTATTTATCCCGTGATGCCATTTTGTTTCTACAGTTGTGTGTTTGGAACACAGATGGATGGGAGAAGCAAACAAGTAAATACTTGCAGATTCCAGCTGGGCGTGCAGCTGCTCCTATTGCAGATACCCGTGTACAATTTCACCAAGATCAGACACATTTACTAGCTGTACATGAAACTCAGATAGCCATATATGAAGCACCTAAAATGGAATGTCTTAAGCAGGTGTGTATGTTCTTAATTAGGTTATTTATATTAAACATTTATATTAAACTCTTCACTTTCAAATTGTGTCAAGTATTTTATTTTTATTACCAGCACTGGTTTTGTCCCTAATTTCGTGGTGAGCTATTTGATAAGCCTATAATTGATGCCATTGCATGGATCTTGTTTTATACTTTATCAGCATGTGTATTGTGTACGAGTACAACTTAACAGACCTTCTCCTAACATTTTTGGGTTCTGCTACATGAATCATGTTTCACAAGGATATAGTTTTCACCATAAATTATAATGTTTTTTTATTAACAATTGATCTTTCTGTAATAGTGGGTTCCTCGAGAAGCAAGTGGGCCAATTACACATGCTACGTATTCCTGTGATAGCCAATCAATATATGTCAGTTTTGAAGATGGAAGTGTAGGCATTCTCACTGCTTCAACACTTAGATTAAGATGTCGAATTAATCCTGCTTCCTATCTACCTAACAATCCGAGGTAAATACTTTTTGACTACCTATAAAGGTGATTTTGTTGCATTTCTCTTTCAAATTTTCTTCTAAATTTTTAATAATTGTAATTCTGCAGTTCAAGGGCCCATCCGCTTGTCATTGCTGCGCATCCATCCGAACCTAATCAGTTTGCATTAGGACTTACTGATGGTGCAGTCTGTATACTCGAGCCACTAGAATCAGAAGGCAAATGGGGTACCTCACCTCCTCTTGAAAACGGTGCTGGGCCTAGCACCACTTCTGGTGCAGCCAGTGCAGATCAACACCAAAGGTGACAAGTCTCTTGTGCATGCATGTTGTTTACCTTGAACCATGAGTGTATCGTATCCACTGCTTTCATGTGGTTTTGCACGGTTTCCCATCAGTTTTATTTTCAAGGGAAGATGCAAGATTTGGGTAGTATAACTGTAGGATACTTGAACTCAGTTTGTCGAGCCAGTTTAGAGGGTAGCATCAGATCAATTCAAAACTGAGACATGCCGCCATTTTGTCCTGTGGGATGTTGAGCAAAGTTTGGGTTCATGGTGTGAATGCATAAGATGACACTAGCAAAGAGGGAATGTGGTGTTCTTTCAACTTGTTGGAGGAATTCAGCAGAGTGATGAATTAGCCTGGTGATTTTTATCATAGAAATAACTTTAGTTGCTTCAAAGGTTCTGTTATAAGTTTTTTTTTCGGTAAGTTCTGTTAGAAGTTATGTCAATTAATTTGTTCTTTCAAGAATTATTGTTTTTCGTTCATGTACAATGCTATGTAGTTTGATCTGTTATAGGCTCACTATTGGTGGCTGGTATCTAGACTTGTGCTCCTCTCTCTCGCTCATGTTATTTTTGTTTTGGTACTCCAAAAAAAAGATCTGGGTGACGAGAATACATTTACGATCAACAATTACTCGGTTAGGGATGTCCATGAGCTGGGCCAGGTTAGGCCCGTGAAATTATTTTAAGGCCGGGTTTGGGTAGTGTAAGCCCAAATTTTTACTCAAGTAAGTTATCATGTGAGTCGGGCCAGACTTCAAATAGGAGTAGGTTACATGTAGTCTAACCCGCAAGTCTATTGGGTGGACTTGTGGGTGGGTTTGTTCGCGGGTTTTTTTTATATAAAATTTTATTTAAAAATAATAAATATTTTTATAACTTTATATTTGTGTAAATTATATTTTTGAATCAAAAGTAGAATCAAAATAAATAAAAATAAAATAATAATAAATTTTATTTTTGATTAGGGGGTGAATTTTTTTTAATATAATGAATACATCATAATTAGGTAGAAATCTACTCATTTATTATTGTATTGCTCTACCTTTTAAAACATGTATGTTTAATGTATTAAAGAAAATAATACATTATTTATAGTAACTAAGTTTTTAAAATTTCAAATTTCAAAATTGAGATTTATTTTAAAATTTTAAATTTAATGGTCTAAAAGTGTAATTTTATTTCAAAGGAATGGTGGCCGGACTTGACAGATGGGCTTCGGGCATGTTATAATGTATTTGAGGATAAACTCAAACCCTCTTTTTAAAGATAATGGGCTTGGAATCAGGCAGGCCAATTATCAGGTTTTAGGCCTATTTTTTCATACCGGATAACGGGACTTGTTGATAACTCGATCCATGGACACCCTTACCTCGGGTGGTCGATGGGTCAGTTTATTAAATGGAAAGGATTAGGGGCGTTAATGTTTGATTACTCCCGTTGTACAAGTACGAGCCCCAACGTGATACAGTTTTAATAGTTAAGAGTAAGCTAGAATCTTTCTGGGCAGTTATGATCTGAACCCTCCAAGCAATTGTCTCTTCTGTTCCCTTTTTTGGAAGGTGACTGTTTCATAATGAAGCTCTGCATGTGGGGTTTGAAAGTTAGGCCAAGCACTTGCCTGGTGGGAGTATTAAAAAGACATTGACTCCATCAAGAAAAGACAACTAGTATACAACCATTGCATACACGAGTAATAACCTGGACTATTCAATGCTATTGAACATGTAAGTTTTATATATAATTTTTAAAATTATTATTTAAACAAAATCGCGAGTTTTATATCATGTTGGAGATAGTCATTAGATATACAAGGGTCTTAATTCACGCTTATTTATTTATGTAGCAATTTTTTAACCACACGCCCACAAAAAAAAATAAAAAATAAAAATACTTGCATAGAAGTAGATGAACGAGTACTGGTGTGCATAAATTCCAACTTCAAGCTATTTTTGTGCCCAAAGTGGAGCCACCAGCAGGAGTGAGACTGTCTACATATCTCCCATACCTTTGTCCACCGTGTATAACCAACTTTCGTGCCCAACGGATATCCACCAATAAGAGCACGATTATTCACCATTTATCTCACTGTAAACTTACAATATATACATACTTGGTGTAATCGGTATCCAAAATTAAATCACAAACATAAAGAAGAGATAAAGGGATTTAAGCATCGATTTGTAGTAGGGGTGAGAGGTGATGGACGGCAATGGTGGTGGTAGGAGACGGCGATAGTTATGATGGGTGACAATGACCGTGGTGGCGGTGGCGACGACGATGTTGGTGAAGGTGGTGGTGGTGATGATGACAGCAACAACAGCGATGGTGGTGGTAGTAGGATGATTTTAACACAATTTTTTTTTTTTAAATATTTATGAAAATAATTTCTAAAAGTACTTTTAAAAAGTCAATCCAAACACACCCTTAAAGCCTATTTTTTTATTAAATTTAGGACGTTAATATTAACCGTTAGATTAACTTTAAAGTAAAATTTACAGCAATCTCCACTGCGAATAACAAAAATCATTTTGTTTATCTTTTGAGATTTGAATTATAAGTTACTTTATTATATAGATATATATAAAACTGGAAAGCTGCTTCATTTTTAAGAAAATTTAGCAGAAATTTATAAATCCATGTACCAAATTTGGGAGGTATGATATCTAGTCAAAATCAAAAAGTAGCAAGAATAAAGATTTCTCTCATTTCTGAGAATTCACAGACTATTGAGGAGACTAGAATAAGGACAACTTCCTTAACCAAAAACTCTTGTAACAGCCTAAAGAATTTTTTAGTAGCATTTCTGCATTTACAACAACAGCTGTTCATTCACATTTACATTTAAGGAAGTAATAGAACCACCTTTTGCTCTCGATTTCAGTATTTGTGTCGGATAAAAGAAACTGAGTTTTCTCGGCATCTAAGGTATGAAAGATGAAATATGGTAAAACTGCAGAAAAAACACACAACATGCACACACTGGAATGGGATTTGAAGAGAGACTCTGATTATCAATTCCGTCTTCGACCTGGCTTCGTCCGCCTTTTGGTATTGCCTGGAGATGACTGGTTTGCTTGTACTGGCAAAAGTGTCCCACCTTTGATGCCATCTGAATCGGTTGAGTTAGCAAGCATTCTATGGGCTTCGACATAAATCTTCATGTCTCTAATCTGTGACCAACATGTAAAATTTAATGAAACCAAGGCTTGTAAATTGTGATGGTTAAATAGAAGCGCATACAGATGGTAACACACACAAATACCTGTTCTTCCAAATCCAGTATCTTTTGGTCTCTTGACCTCAGTGATGAACTTTCACTGAAATAATATGGAGAATTAAAATTACTTGGTCTGGAATTGGCATAGGAAGCATTTTAATGCTAGATATTAGTATTCATTTCATATCCAACTGTACTGGTTAATTAATCAGAAACCAATGGGCCGTTGGTCCAATGGTACTCTTTGATTTGTAAAGGCATTTTCTTGGTTAAGGGTTCATGTTCCCTTCCCCCTTTCCCTTCCCAAAAAAAAAAATTAACCAGAAATCAGAAAAAAGGAAGAAGTCGTTTCACAAGTACAACTAAAGACTACATAGAGTTTCCCGTACCCACAGTAAACTAAATCATAAGAAAGTATCACGATGTTGTTTAGAAAGCAAAAGTAGTATTACTGTCCCATCAACCAATACAGATGAACAAGACGCGCAAACTTAACATGCATGTCAATGGAGAAGATGACAGTACCTCTCTTGAATTTCCTTTAACTTTTTTTGCAGGGCTTCATCATTTTTCATAAGATCGCGATTCCTCTAATTACAAAAAGAAAAGATTTTATCAGGGTTAAAAACTGCTAAAGATAATCATTAGAAAGATTCACAATGACAGTGTCAGCCATATATTCTTTCCACCATGAATTATACAGATTCCAAGAGCTTAACTATGATAAAAAAGAAACTCACATTGGCAACAGCCTTCTTTTCCTCGGGATATTTTTCCAATTTATATTGCATATCCTGCATCCTTGAAAATACAGCCTTATCCACTGCATTGGATATGGAGCTTTCCTTACTAGTCTTTGCCTCAGCGAGTAGAGATTCGTAATGCTGAAAGAAAACACATTTTTATTTAAGGTTTCATCACACTACATTGTTTAAATCGGGCCTTCAAGAGTGCTCATTCACTGCCTTAAACATCTAGTGACAAATACGTAAACATATATTTTCCTAGCATTTAATTATATAAAACAGAGCCCTTCTAATGCATTAAGTTCTTTTAATTTCCGATCAAAGAAATATACAAGTGAAGATCAAACAACATATCGACTAACGGAGAGTGCAGATCAGGGTACAAGATCTGTTACTTACTTGTCTTTGAGTCTCCAGCTGAGTTGCAAGAAGATGAATGTATTCATCCACAATCTATCACAAGTATATAAATCAATTAATATGACATCTACATTAGAAAACAAGCAATAACCTACGACATAATTGAAGATGCAATAATTCTTTAACACAGACAAGAATATAAGTTTAACTTTGCCTTGGAGGTTTCAACACCCCCATCTTCCAAAAAAGAAAAAAAAAAGGCCTGGCCGTAGGATAAATGTGCAGGTCGAAAAAGAATCAGAGAAGCACAAAGTCACAAACTTATGGGTTGAAGTCAGTATGACAATCTTTCTATGGGATTTCAGTAAGCGGACCTGAAGAGCATCTTCATGTTATAGCTATTAGTATTTTTCCTGACAGATAGTTTCCTATTATCATAAGACGATAAAGAAAAAGTACCGCTTCAACTTTGCTGCTCAAAAGTGCATCACCAATTCCAGAATCCTCATTATTCGCACAAGTGCCACATTCTCCATCAAGCGACACACAGTGAGCATTCGTCATGACTGACTTGCCATCAGCTTTTGACTGATTCAATCTTTGAACATAGTTGTCTCCAACATAATCCCAAATCTGCTGTGTCTCCAATTCAAGAGAATAACAATGCTGCGTACCACTCCAATGGTTTTTGGCATGCCCTTCTTCGTACCTACATTCAGTAGACATTGTCTTTAACATAAGTAAAAATAAAGGAAACTATTACTAATCAAATGCACGGTAAACCGAGTATTATATTGTGAAGAAGATTAAATTACTATTATACCTTCCACATCCCACAAAACCACATATCAGGCAAACCCAGGGGTTTTTTAATGATCCACAAACGGCACAGGCCGGTTTCTCATCATGCCGCTGGCAAAGTCGACAGACCTGCCAACAAATAAAAAACTATTATCGCACATCCTTCCATAAAGTCGTTCCTATCCCTCCAACACATTACTCAAGTAACATTAAGTTGGCATCCATATCTAAGATTAGTTACACATATTGGATTTGATATAAGGTAGTAGTAACCGAAGTTCTATAAAGTTTTCAATATGAACAAATATAAGGTAATAAGAGATGTTATGCACAGTATTTAAATCGGTCAATAGATTTATGCATATAAGTTGGCAATGCATAGATATTAGTTCATCAAGGACAAAAAAGATCAAAGCATGGCAAAATAATAATTTATACTGTGCAAACTGGAGGCACACTGCATTTATCCAATGTAGCTAATCTTCTATTATACTGCTTTGCATGAGAATAGATACAGTCTAAAACTCAAGATTTTGGTGTGACACTCTTTATTTCCTTTTTTATTCTCCTTTTCTCCTAGAGCTACAACTCCTGCCTCCATCACCTCTTTCAAATTGATGTTCCAATATCTTCTTGTCATTTCTCCCCACACTCCCCCCCCCAATTTTTTTGAAAAAAAAAGAGACGAGGTACCCCAAAATAAATAATTGTTCAAATGGAACGTTCTCTTCTACATAGCATAAATTCCAGAAACATCCCTTCCTTGGGTCCTTTACTCAATCATACTGCATGACAATGTGTTATAAAAGACATCATGTATATTTTGCTTATAGAAGAAGTCTATAGAAAAAATGGTATTATCACCTTGATCTCTAGCCTCCTCAATGTTTATGTATCTATATACTCTTAATTAACAGATCAATTGTATTATATATCACTATAAGTGGGCATAAAAAAGAACATCAGTAAAAGAAATTTTATTTAAAACAGGAATCCAAATGAGCAATGAAAATCACTGAACCAGCTGGCATGGTATTGAACTAGATCACCAATATAACATTTTTTATGAAAAAGACACCAATACAACATCAATAGTAAATAACAGTTTAAGTGATACTTGAACATCTACAATCTGCACATCATAAAGAACCACCAGGTTCTTGCAAGGTGAGGTTTTTAAGTGATGATTGAACATCCACACATCATTTTAAAGCAGTACCATTATACTTTAATCCTGCAACAAGTTTTAATGCTCTCTCAAAAATGGTCCTTTCTATACAGGCATTTATCATGTGAGCTGTTCATTTAAATACAGTACTCTGAATCAGCATTGATTTAAAATTAAATTGACCAACTAGGATAACACAAATCAAAGTGACAACTTTTTCAACAGGTAAAAGAAGTTAATATAAGAGCTTCACTACACTTACAAGAGTAGACACTAAAATATAGATGATAATAGATTTCAACTGGTAGGAGGTAATATATTGACTCCGCCTTCTTACCAAGAAAATTCCAATTCCACAAAACTAGAATATAAAGACTCTAAAGTTAGGGATCTAGGTTTAAGGACTGCAAACTAGCTAAGCACCAGAATAAGAAGGCCCTCTACATAATGCCACAAAAATTCTACTGACCCAATTATAGATAAAAGAGGACAAACTAACCTGGCAAGATAAATAGGTCCATTTTGAAATGCAAGCACAATGAAATGAATGATCGCATAGTGTACTCCGTATCCCACTGGTGTCTTGGTCCAATCTCTCTAGTCAAATCAAATTACCACAAACTTCCAAGTCACAAGATTTTTCTCTTCACAAATAAAAAATAGCTTTAAATGCATCATCAAACTCCTTCTTCACATGCATATACAATGTACATAAGAACATACATGCACTAGCAAGTAGCAAATTAGTCAGAAACTGACCTAGACAAACCGGACAAGTTGGCAATTCAGTAAAACCTGGTGGAGGTGTGCCCGCAATCTCCGCTGAGTCTGTGTACTCCACTGACTGAGTAAAGTATATATGGCAGACCTCAGCCTAAGAAACCAACAAAAAGTGCAAGTAAAATAACACATAAATTTTCAGATCTTTAAAATTCACACACACACACACATACACATATATATAAGCAAGATCAAATACCTCAAAGGGCTTAAACCGTCTCCCATCAAAAGTATGGTAGAACCCATCTGCTGTCAACTGATTCTCAAGCCTAATTAACACACTATACCTATCCTCCATTGCATCATTCCTGCAATACCAAATACATAATCCCATTACAATACACGCATAAACACTAACACATAACCTAAGCATTTGCGTTTAAGATAAAAATCAAAATCGAAAAACCAAATAGATGAACATATGTGAAAACGTAACCCACTTGGACTCAACTATGCGCATGTATAAAACCACACACAAAGAAAACCACTGTTAAAATTTCAAAAAGAAATCAGAATGAAAATCTCTTATAGTACACGCTCGCGCACACAAAAATTTGAACAAGAACTCCAAAAGAGAGGAGGTTTTATGTTACCTGAGAAAAATGAGTTCGCAGCAGTGATCAAGATGGGACCCACAGAAGAGGAGGAATTCATTGGTGGAAAGGTAGTTGGGCACGGCAACGACAAAGAGGAGAGTGGTCCGGGCGGTGGTGTTGGAGGAAGGGGTGGCCGTGGCTGTGGTTGTGGTGGGTGGGAGGTGGCGGAAGAGATGGGCTACGCCTCGGAGCTCGGTTGGGTTTGAACTGCTACTATTATTGTCATTATTAGGGTTAGGGCCGTGTATGGTGGCGGAGGAGGTGGTGGTGAAGAGGGGCTTGGGGGTGTCGACGGTGTGCATTTGGAGGGTGAACATTTCGTCTCCGTTTTCTGTGAGTTGAATTCGAATGTGTTTGGTTGTTGGGAAAATGGGTGGGATTTTAAAATGGTTAGGAGAGGAAAATTTGCTTCGCGGGAGTCGGCGTTTGGAGGAGGAAAACGACGCCGTTACATAGACAAATTGTCCCAAAGTGATTCAGAGTCATCACAAGAGCCTTGGGCAAGTCATCAAATATTTATAGGAATATTAGTGACTTGCTAAGAAGTATAAGGTGCAAAAGTACAATTTCTGTTTGGGGAACTTATAATTTACACCCTTAAAATATGAGCATAATTTTTATTTGGCCCTTACAATTTCAATTGCAACAACCAAATCCTTATTATTGAGTTTCAATTTAATCTTTACATCAAAATTCATCAATTTATTATGATGGAATGTTCTTTTGTGACCAACACATGACTTGGGTAAAAAAATATAATTGTCTGCTAAAAATCTATTCCGTGTAGATTAGAAAATATTATTTTATTTCATTTAATTTTGAGAAGTAAAAAAAATGTGTATAACAATCCCGAATAAAAGGGAGTGATATTGTGAACATAAAAGAAAAATAGTAATTTTTTTGAGGGAGACATTTTTTGGGGGACGGATATACCTTATGGATAAGTTCTCCGACGTCTTTCTTATTAGAATAAATTAATAAATCTAAGATTGAATTGAAACTCAGTAAAAACTTTAAAGATATAATTGTATCAATTAAAACTTCAAGTATTAAATAGAAATTATGTGTATACTTTTTGGGCGTAAATTGTAAATCATCAATTTGTTTGTGTGTAGCGAAGAGTGAGAAGAGACTCCAATCTAAGTTGTTCACGTTACAATATATAAAATAATATGATTTTTTTTTAATGTGTATGAAGGGGTTTTGATTCAGGTTATTCTAGTTATCATATAATATTGTTACTGAAAAAAAATTGTAGTTCTAATAAATATAAAGTTACAAGAAAGAAAAAATAGGGTATGGCCTCCTCATTTGGTCAATTATAAAATGTGTGGCAATTGATATTGTCTGTATCTAATTTGTTATTAACAAGAAAAAATTTTAGTGTTAAATTAGTTTCCAATTTCTCTTGCTCAATACCATTTTAAATATTTTAGTTGCTTACCTTCAAAAGTGAAATTATCCCCAACTTGTCTTTAGGTCAAGACTAGTTTAAGAAATTCGTCTTTAGTTTCTTTTCGTTACTTTATTTCTCTTCTTTCATTTATTGTGAAATATATTATGAGAACTATTTTATTTATTGACTGTGAAATTGAAGCTCAAGTCTAAAGCCCCATGAGACGTAGGTCTAATATGACTTGCCGATACATCTTTACTAGTTTCATACCTCCCCCTTCCCCCCCCCCTCTTTTTTCTCTCTTTCACTCTCCCTCCTTGGTTAATATAAATGGGAAAACCTCCAAGTACATGCACTCATAAAACTAAACACAGATATACAGAGGTAAGATTGTACCCGTTTGTGTATGTTAACCTTCTTATTTATGGTAGCTTTTGAATTTATGGAGGTAACCCAAAATTCAACTTCTGGTATCCTGTAAAAAATTTCTTCAAACCTTGTTTATGCATTGACATCAATGTTGGAATAGATACATGTAACAAGATCCTGCTCAACCCTCAATTGGCAGGTTCATGTACTAGAATTATGGACAAAGGGAAAATGGTGACCTAACACGACAAACCAGTCTCCAAGGGTAATGGAATGTCGAGAATTGGAGTTTTTGGAAGAACATTTTCTGAGCATATTCGAGAGTTAAATATGACATTTTTCCTCAAAAGTAGGCACCCACCATGTATTGATATGCATCCCCTTATATATAGTGAATTCCATAATTGAGAATGAAAGAAAAATGTACTTGAACACATTATAATGTCTGAATAAAATAGAACACTCAATAATTTTACTTTCTATTAGTCAAAAAAGTAAAAAGTACAAGAGAAAAAGAAGAGCATTGATGGATAATCAACCTTTAAAACCTAGTTATCTCGAGAAAATATTACATTGTAATCACTCTATTGCAAGTTGCATATGATAGAAATCACAAGCAATGTAATTCAAAACTAAAATTCACTAACCCAAGCTTAATAGAAAGCGTGAAACAATATTATCCTATCTTACTGTGGTTGGCTTGCATCACAGAAACGGTTCGATTATGAATGCCCCCAAAAAGTGAGATCTAAACTGTGACATTTACTCACGAGCTATCAAGACCAATGATGTAACTCTTTTCAGTGATTCACAAGCTTTCGTCAAATCTAATTCTGTATGAGCGGCCGAGACAAACAACTTAATTCCGATAGACAGACTGCATTTATCAAGCATGGATCTCTTGGAAGTCACCACAAAAATAGAGTCTTCCTTCAACACCTGCAAATGCAAAGTGCATTAGTGCTTGAAAAGTATTTATGTCAACATATTAAAATCAGGATTGCATGAAGCTTACACGGTGAGCAATATCTTCAAGCAATGATAAATCATTCGAGGAACCTGTGGATTTCTTTAATCTGAGAAAAACAATAGGGGATTGTGGATCACTCACAATCTCAAGGCCTCGTATATCTGACAATCCTGTAATTTATCAATATATTAGGGCCAAAACAAAAGCTAAGACCAGTAAAAAATAAAATAAAACTTCTTCACAGCCCTGATACGGATCCTAATAGGCAAACCATAACAAACAGGTACAAACTGGTCATGGGCATACCTTTATATAGTCTACCTTTATATAGTCTAAAAGAGCAAACAATGGTAAAAGTAAACACCTCTACATAGTATGGTGATATTCTTCCTTAGCTTTGTAATCAAATCAGGATTTTGCTCCAAGACATCAATAGCAGTAATTGCAGCACTTGCTAGGTATGGGGGCAAGGAGGCAGAGAAGACATAGCCAGAGCTGCTGAGACGCTGCAAATATGTATCACATCATGAATAATAAGCACACAGGTGAAAAGAAAAGTTGATGCATTAAAATCAATAACTCGACACAAATGAGTAATTTGATTACATCAAAAATTATCTCTAAACTCTATTTTCAATTTCTCATGTAGTTGTAATCTAAATACTTCTTGCATACTTGGTGGTCAATGACTCGGGCACTTCCAGTGCAGAATCCACCTTCTGTGGCCAAAGCATGTCCCATGGCAGCAGTTACGATATCTATCTTCTCAATCTACAAATCACACCACCATAAAACCACATATGGAAGTTCAATCACTCATAAGCCCAAAATGTATTGAAAACATACCGGAACCCTATGGTGCTCGGTTAGACCTCTTCCGGAATTGCCAAGCACACCAAATGAGTTGCTCTCATCCAATAGAACTCGGAAGCGATGTTTCTCCTTCAGTTTGATGATCTCATCCAATGGAGCAATTTGCCCGGAATTCTAAAAAATGGACAAATCAACCAAAAGTTAAAAGTTAGAAGAACATAAAGAGAGAACCTATAAAGCACGGACACTCTCAAGAAGGAAACGAATCCATGTCGGACACCAACACTCTTCCGGCACTCTCGTACACGTGTCCGACACATCTTTGGTGATGTGTTCAGCACTTCTTTAAACCATACCTATTACTAAACAATAAACATGTATTGACAAGTGAATAACAAAGCTTAAAATTTTGACTATAAGTATCTTATATTATGACAGAATATATAATTACCAAGACATAACATGTAAAAGTTGTCCTCAAAAACTAATAATAAAAGTAAAAAATACATAAAAGTTCAAAAAAAAAAAGGAAAAACAATAACAATCATTTAAATTATATATATTAGGTACAAGTCCACAAATAATTGATGATTCTTGACTATTATGATGGTTTAGTCTAAAAATTCACACCACATGACTAGATATAAAAATTACTTAGTACAAAGTACTGAATTTTTTATGATATATTATTCATTATCACCGTATTTTTGTGATAAATTATATAACTTTATATATAAAACACAATTATTTATAGCATATTTCTAACGTGTCTGTGTCTTACTTTTTTTAAAAAATGTCGTATCTACGTATCTGTATTGTGTCGTGTTATATCCGTGTTTGTGTTTGTGTTTGTGTTCTTATCTGTGTCTATGCTTCTTAGGAGAGAACAAAAGAGAGATAAGGATATGTAATGCATAGCAAGCAAATTGATACAAGACCTATTGACGCAACTCAATGCACATATAGTCAATTTCTTTAGCACATGGTTGGCATCAGTAATTTACTTGGATAATTTTTTGACAGATATAATCATTGTTGTCCAAAGCCTATGCATATATTTTTATAAGGAATTCCACGATTTTGAATTGTTATGAAGCTAGAGCGATGACGGACAACAACGTTCATAAAGTGTTGAACAGCGCACATGGATGTGTATATTCTTTAAGCTTAGACTTACAAGCTGTGCCAAATTCAAGCATGGATGACAAAGATACCTGATACACAGCTTCAACCACAATGTAGCGCCTTAGCTTCTTAGCTCGTTTATTTTCTTCTGTAAATTTCTCCAAAGTATTCCTCAAAGATTCCATGTTATTGTGCTTGAAGTAGACAATTGTACTTCTAGAGAGGTAAAGTCCATTTTGTATTCCCCAATGTACACCCTCATCCCTGGAAGATCAAAAACGATATTAGAAAAAGAGTATCTAGGATTCAATGCAATAAAATACATATGCCAAATCGAACAAGATACACTTCTGAAGGGACTGATGCTGTCCTTTCAAAGTTCATGTTTATGTCATCAAATTACATTAGCTAAAATGACCCCAGTAAAAAAAATAAAACTAAAATAGAGTTTCATCATGTCTTCAACATATGCGCTGAATCTCCAGATAAGAATATACATCTAGTAATCTCCATCTTCATTCATTTGGAAAACAACTCCCAGCCCAATTCTATGTCATATCAAATTGGACACCAGATAATTAGAGATGATCAGATATACTCACACAACAATAATATCTCCTTTCTTGCAGAAAGCTGGAATTGCACTGAACATAGTGGAGAGTCCATAAGAATAGAGTATGGAATCTGGAGTTCCCAAAAACTTCGCTATTTTGGCCTCACAGTCAAGGTGAACATCTATATAAAAGAAAATTCTTAGAAGCTTTTTTTTTTCATGTGGAAGACATAAACTGCAGCAATAGTAGTTAGCCTTAAATTATACCAATTGTTCCATAAAACCCACGAGGACCACAAGAACCGACACCGTATTTCTCCAATGCTGATGTGCATGACTCCTATCATACAACATTGCAGTGAATGGTCACCCTAGGTCAAAGCACCGCTATTAAAAGACAAACTATGAATCAAAGGGGTAGGTTTTCCTTACAAGTAGCTTCTCATGCCCAACTAACCCAAGGTAATTTGCTGAAGCAAAGTTGACAACTTCTTTGCCATTGATTACTGTATGCGGCCCTGCAGCACTGCATAAAATCCAATTCATAAGCAGGAATGCTTATGGTAAAATGAAAAATCTTTTTCGAACATACATACTCAAGTACTTAAATAACAGACTTCGGAGAATTAACAACTTAAATAATAGACTTAAGAGAACTAACAACTTTCTAAAGTCAAACTTTGATGTGGAAAACACAACCTTCTTCCCCCCACCCCCATCCACCCAAAAAAAAAGATGGGGGAAGGTGTGGTGAAGGAAATAAAATGTAACCATATGAATAAAATTGAACAAATAACCATGAGCCTCACAACTCTACGAAAGAATATACCACTATAAGAAATTGAATTAAAAGACAGAGTATTTACCTTTCCAATACGGGAGGTTCATACTTCATCTCTTCTGTAATAGGAGGAATAAGGGATTCTGGAACCCATTCATCACAGAGCTCATCTATTTCCTACGCGAAATCAAACAAACACATTTATCAAAATGAATGTCGCAAAAACTAAGAAACTGAAAATAGGATACATAAACTTTGTAGTTGCACTAGTGTGAAAACTAACAAGCACAATTAATAAATTTGATATAATTGTTCCATTCAAAGTTTACACCCGTATAAAGCACTCAGTATGGAAAAAGAAAGCAGAAACTTTAACAAAGTTTGAGAATATACGCAGCATTACCAACATGAATAATCTGACGATGAGCATATGACCCTTGAACATAATAACAGATGATTTAATTCCAAGGCTGTAGTATCTATAGCCCAACAAGAGAGAACATATCGTCTTTGGAAGCCCAGAACATATTGCATGCTAATGGCAACTTAAGAGTTTTTTGGTCCAAGAAAAGTGTCCGTAACAGTTGTTTGGGTAAATGAGTTGCTTTGTTTTTGTGCTTATATATGATCACACATGGTTTTTGTGTTAAAATTGGGGAGATGACAAGCAGCTACTGTACTGAGTATCATTAACATGAGCAAAGGGTAGGACTAGTTCAAGGTTCCACTATAAACTATGTAATGAACTAGAAATGGTTTTTAGGTTAATTTTCTTTGATTTTCCAAAATTAAGCTCTGGTTGATGGACAATGTTATTTTTTAACTCAATGGCCAAGATTTATTGTTACAATAATAATTTGCATTGAAGTTAAGAAATAGCTAGTCAAGAATCGATACTTTAAAGCATTTATATAAAACAAATTCTAGATCAGCCGATCAAGTGATGAAGACCATAATAACTTTCAAAACAATATAGCAGTTTGTAATGCATAAACATGGTTTCTGCCACACACACCTTCTTCGTTAGTGGTCTTTTAGGTGGCTTGTAACTTTTTTGTGAAAGTAGGAAGAGGATAACCACTACGAGAAGACCCTCAACAAATAGATGTCCTACAGGTAAAGGAAAAAAATGTTAACTTCTAGATAAAATTATCAAGAATGAAGAGGACAACAATATTTTGTTGGATTCTTTGAGATTTTAGAAGTTACCTCCAATATGCACTCCAAAAACAACAGCCCGAGCGAAAGGAGCTTCAAATGCAATAGTCACCCAATCAGATGTAGTTTTCATTAAATTAATGACAGCTGATGTCATTTCATCCATTATCTCAACTTTGCATGCATACACCTTAACAACCAATGCCGCAAAGGATACACGCTTCCTTTTAGTTTACCATTCCAGTGCTCAAACTCTGCCATACAAGCAAATGTAACTCAGATCTATCATTGATATGTCGTTATTAACAAGTTGGTAAAGTATACTTCGTACTTTCATAGAATACATCAAAACATAATATGTACAATAGAAAAAGGAGAAAGGCCAATTATAAAAAGAAGTATATCTGGTTCATGTGATAATAAGTTTTATAAGATTTTTCAAGCTCATATGCACACATGTTAAATAACGTGCCATGCATCAATTGACATATGAAAGAACATAAAATAATGTACGGATGGAGACCAATAGTGATAGATAAACAGAAACACGCAACCATTATATTTTTCACTAAGCAAGATTGATGCTCGAGGACAAATATTTGGAAAACATTAAAGTGCAACACACGTACCAGGCAAGAGCAAAATAGAGGAGAAACGAGTGTAAAAATGATTTTAAATTGCCTGCATGGAAACTAATATCATCTGCAAGTTCTATTGAACAATCTAAAGAGTTGTTTCAGCTCCCTTTCAAACAACTAAACAAGGAGCTCAAGAATTCCTACACAATATTGAGAAATAGAATCTCTATCATGCAAACCCTTTCCATCCATACATCGCATATCAGAAGAAGATGGTGGAACCACTATCCCCTTGTGGTCAATCCACTTGTCTTATTACCTATCAAACACACCTGCAACTGGTATAGAGGCAAAACAAAATGGAATAAAAGTCGATATTGCAAAATAAAAGGACTTCTACTATCATTTTCCCAGCTGTAACCACAGCAAAAATTACACTTTTTCTACAACCTTCTAGTGGTGGAACAAATATGATCAGGCTCCCGAACAAATGAAACACCAATTGATAAGAATAGTCGACAATACATCATCCTCCTCTCATTGCCAACTCCGTTGATAAAATACTTGGGTTATTGAACTATCCAGTATCAGATCATTTCAAATCAAACACATGACGGATGATACAAATTATCTACTTACCCCAAAACAAAGCACTCAGATGAATAATCACTCAATCTTAGCTTTAATTTTATCAAAAAATCACCCAATTACAGCTGGTTTTCATTGGTTTCACCAAATAATCAACAATTTCAGCAACTACTCCAACATTTTAAGCTCAATTTCACCAAAGAATCCAACAAGTTTCGCTCAATTTCATTACATAATTCAAACATTTCAGTAAAATAAATCATAAACTTACAAATCAGATCTTACCTGAGAGGAGAAGCAGACAGAGCCAAGGGCCCCACAATCACAGAGGATCCGAAAGACAATTCTAGTCAGGTCAGACCAAAAGCAGATGGGTTTCGGACAGGTCAGATCTGAAACGGATAGATGCCGGCAAGGTGGAGCACAGAGGAGAGAGAAATAGGGAGAGAGGGGAAGGGATTCGGACTAGACTAGAGAGAAGAGAAGGATCATGGGGTATGGGTAAAACTATGTGTGATATGACCAAGAACTTATTAGTAATTCGAGAACAGCCCCTTAAACAATACAAAGTTACATATAGCCCATTACATTATTACACTAGCGATAACCCGTGCCTGTACAATTCAGAAAAACCGAACATTGATTGTGAACACAAAAAAATAAAGTACTGAACATAAACACACATATTAAGCTGGAAGATACAACTGTATCCTTAACGCACGTGCACTTTGAATTAGTGATCAACAACATATGACCTATATGAAGATGGAGAAAACTCAACTTTAATGATAAAAGTCTCATAAACTTAAACTAAAAAAGCATGAAATTCATATTCTTGAAATTATATATCTAATTAGAATTAACAGTAGCGCTTAATAAGTGATGATCGGTTTAAGAACCGACATTCACTTATCTAACTTAATGTTATGACTTTGGAGAACTAAAGTAAGTCAAAATGCTTTCTTTTCATTTATCATAAAAAATACAATTAGAAAAAATGTATGTGCCTCAAAGCACTATATTATGCTAAACAAAAATCATCAATATTTAATCAACTATTTTTCTGTGTTCATTTAAAAAATTTGGACAATTTTTCCTACAAATCGAACTGCAAAAAACTATCAATCTATATTAGACAATTTGTAAAACGCTAATTACACAATCCACTCTCTATAAAATTTTAATTAAACAAATAAACTATAAACTCCCAATATTATATTGCACCAATTCAACCAAATTGTGTTGTCTATACTAAATCAAGACTCAACAATCTATGTTGCCTTTTATGTATCCAAAGCGGCTCAAAAGCATACTAAAAACACCAACTGCACCATAGCAATACACGAAAATGTGACGATCCAAACATAAATGAGTGTAGTACAACCATTTTTTCAAAAATTTATAAACAATCCATTAAATTTCTTAGTCTCAAGCAACTTCTATCACACAACAAAATAACATAAATTACTTCTAAACCAATTCTACCTCAATAAATCAACAAAAATCAGGTTTGACTAATTCAAAATATTCCACTTTGGATTATATATTTAAATCAAAATATATATTGTACACTTGCAAAATAAGAGAAATAAAAAATTTAAGTAGAACATCTCCCAAAAATATTAACCACAATCCTCTATAAACACAACTATTTTTACCAACTACCACAACAACATTAACCATAAGATGAAAGAATAATCACCAAACGTAATTACACTGTAAACTTGTAAAATGGGTCAATCTTTAATCTAATTTACCGAAATTGATCATCCATCATTAATATTATCAAACTTTCTCTTTATTATCATCCTCAAAGTCCTTGTATCAACACATATCCACATCCACCAGTTGGGAGAATGTATGACAACATATTGTTTACAAAAACAATAAAATCAATACACAACATAATTTAAAAAACAACAAACTTAGAAAAGAAAATAATAAACAACAAACAATAAAATTAGTTACCTTATTCGCACATCCCCATCGGGAAAGCGTGGTTGTATTTATTATATATTTAACTCGCGCACTTCTTCATTCCAATTCTACAAAGATTAAATTCAATTATAAAGATAAAATAACATTATTAAAATAATTGTCATTAGTAGAATTAAACTTGCAAAGAAATTATACCATTTATTTATCGTAGAATACTACATGTTACAACAAAACCTCAGGGTACACAATGTTTTTTGTGCAATTTGACCCATTTTCAGGGAGAAGGACATGTACACGATCAGTATGTGAATATTTTGCAGCAGAAAAAAAAAATTTAAGAGATTTCCAACCTAAAACTCTCAAACCGATTATAGCTATAATATGTAAAAACAACCATGTTTTTTAATGAATCTAAGAATGAAAAACGCTAATTGAAAATTACCAGTTCTTGGCAAAAAACTATAAAATGAGATAAAGATATAACTATATTGAAATTAGTAATGAAATGACTAAGTGGGCAATTATCGTTTGTGACCAAAAGAATTACCAGCTTATGATTTAGAAAACAGAACTACATACACCCCTTCTGTTGATATAAATGTTTTGGAGATCACTTGTACATTTTAATGTGGGATTAAATTTTTAGAACTAAGATAATTTTATCATCACTTGATTTGCAACTTCCCCCTAACGTTTAGAGATGTATACATTAGCCCTCATGTGGTTATTGGACTAATGTAGATAGGCGACGCTCAACGATTAGGATCAAAGGACTAATGTCCTTCACTCTCCCGCCTCCTATTTTGTCTCTGCATACACCATGCACATAGACCACAATGTTGCCACACTACCTCACCAAAGCTACAATCTCAATGCAACCTGTACACAATCACCCTCCCAAATCAATATAAAATATTCTTATAAATCAAAATTTCAAGTAACCCACTACAATCAATATACAATATGCAAAACTCTGAGATAATTACTGTCCCGGGTCTTCAATTTCGATACAACCACAATCAACCCTAACCTCGAGTGCTTATTCAAAATCCTATTCCTAAATTCCCTTCTCAACACATCTCAAGTGATCATTAACTTGCTCAAAAATACTTTTCAAAAAAAAAAACCAGCTCAAAAATCAATCGAATGAGTGGAGCCAACTAATTTGTGACTTATAAGTGAGAGAACCAATATTCAACACTAACAAAAAAAGATTAATGACATGTATCTAAAAGCCCTATGTAATACAAAAAAAATTGAGCAAAATTTATGTTTCATTGTTACTTAATTTATAAAAATTTATTTTTCCTCCTTTTTACTCAATTAAACAATTTGAAATCCAACTTAGCCCATAATTTTCTAAAAAAAAATTGATAGAATTTCCTCTAAAAGCAGGACCGTATCAAAATATCAACCTTTATACACCATCTCTATATTTCATAATCATTTCTAAAACAATAGAAATTAATACAAATTGTTTATTATTGAGAAAAGCTTATATTTAAAGAAAAGACGATCTAAACCAAGTATAGGACCCACCATACACAATGTAATACTCATAACTAATTATCATCCGTCACTTTTATCAAATCAAAACTAATCAACACAATAAATATAACAACTAAACAAATTTGAAAACATTCATAAAATCACTCACTATCAACTATTTCGAAATCAATAAACATGTATAACAACCACCAAGATATAGTCTTTTTTTTTTCCAAGCTCTTTTAGGTATCTTCATTTCTTTGTCAACATTATACAGACAAAAAAAGAAGAAACATGGGTGTTATACATCTCAGAATTGAGCTCAAATCGTCGCAAATTCACATAAAACAGCCCCATAATTATTAGAAAAAAATGAAACATTCATACACATAAACGATACACACACACACACCCTAGTTCTGAAATCGAACGAATTGATAGATTGGAAAGATAGATCTAAATTGAGAAAGGTAGAGAAAATGAATAACATTTAAAATAGAGAACAAATTAGCGAAGAAAAATCACAGTACCTAATTGGTGTTTGAGCCGCGGAGTGTAGCAACGAACAGAGATGAGCACCAGCTGCAACTCTGGGTTTTGCGATCTGGTTAGGTCAATTAGATTGCGCTAGGTGCGTACGATACACAGCCGATTAACAGAGAGAGAGGGAGGCAGAGAGAGATACCTGGGAGGCGGGTGGGTGGCGGTGTCGCTGAGGCGATGGTGGAGATGGCTTAAGAGAGGAGAGGGAGAGGGAGAGAGAGAGAAGGTGTGAAGGGAGGCTATGAGCCATAGGTCTCTGACATTGGAGAAAATATTCATTAGAAGCCACGTGGTCGGGTGACGTGGTACCGCCGATTAATAAAAATAAAATAAATAAATAGGTTAAACTTACAAAAATTAATAATTAATCTGCCATATGTAAATTCAAGTAGAATTCATCTTTTTCATTTAAAATTTTATTATTGATTCATGATATCATATTATCAATAGTGACATGGTATCACCGTTGTCATTGATAAAAAATTGGATGTCAAGGAATTGGATATTAAGGGATAAAATGTTAATTTTTTGACCGAGTGAATATGAAATTATCCGATAAATTTATTGAAGTCGTCTTGTTTTATATTATAAATTTTGGATTTTTGACGATTAAATAGATGTGCCATAATTCAATAAAATTAAATTTTAATGAATTTATTTGTATTGAGTCGAATTTCAAACTTAATTGTTTATTTTTAGTGTATTCAAATTAATAGCACATGCTTACCAATCAAAGCAATTACTATTTAAAAAATAAATTAAAAAAATTAACTTTCACGCGACATTGTGACTATTTTCACTATCTTTTATTGAATATACATACTTTTTTTTATTAATCATTTTTGTCAATTATTTTACACCTACATTTAAAAATATCAATTTAAAATTTTATTGGATAATATTATATTAGTGTTAAGGTAGATGTGAACATGGAGGACGGTAACGATGAAAGTTATGAGATGTCATCAATTTTATGCATCAACCATAAGGGTAGTTAAACATCATAAATTTAGATGTTTTGAATTCAAATTTTAGTAATTTCTTAGATCTAGGTAATGAGAGATTTATCTTTTATGAATATCTTAATTTTGGCATAGATGACATATTTTTGACAGACTGATATGAATATCCCTGACCATTAAATCAAACACAATAAATAATTTTTATGCATTACATGAGTTGGCCATTAGTATACATCAAAAGAATCGAGTCAGAAGGAGGGCCTAATGAGTTTTTTCTTCTAATTTCTTAAAATTTTAAAACTGGTTCAACAAACGTTCCATCCTCACATGCCTAATTCCCATAAATTGTTATTTATTTAACGTTTCATTACATTCTATCGTAATTCCACTATAACTATCACTCTCTAACTCATTAATCAACTATCATTCACTTATTGCTTAAGATGGAACTTATGTCTATATGTCAAATCAGATATGTAATTACTAGAATAATTGTTTGAAGAAATATTTTATTTGGGTCACAAAATTGTTGAAGAATTATAAGTGATGAATATGCCAACATGATGACTTTTATATGTTGTTGGGTCGTGTCTGACAACTGGTGTAGATGAATATAGGTTGGCTGCTTGAGCTGGACTTATTCTCTCAATAAATGCCAAAACAAAAATAAGAAAGGACAACGATTTGGCCTAGGACATAAGAGGAAAATACCCGAAAATAACATTTTTTCTTTTGCTTGAAAAAGAATGTACTTACAATGTTTCGTTATGTTACTATAATTTTTATCTAACATTTTCAATTTCGAGAGCATGGAAAGGAAAAAACATAGCTAAAATATATGAAAATGAAATTAGAATTGAAATTCTCATAAAACAATGGACTTGATTATGATCAAATCCTACCCAAATCCATTCCTGCGCTAATGGGTATTTATTTTGATTTAATGGTTATAAGTGTTCGAGTTAATTTATGTACACCTCAATTAATCTTCTTTTCAATTCAAAGTTAAAATATCTGAATTTAAAATTCGGTTGTCGCTGTTATGTCTAATGGGCTCTGCTACTATACATCATGGGCCTCCATCTTCACCTCCCTAACCCTAACCATTGCCACAGCCAGAGTGAATAGAAGAAACCAAACCCAAAAACCCACCTAAAATATGTCAAACGTGGTGGTTCTTGACAACGGCGCCGGCCTAATAAAGGCCGGAATCGGCGGCGAGCGTGACCCAACCGCCGTAGTCCCCAACTGCATGTGCCGCCCACTCTCCAAAAAATGGCTACTAGCCGACCCACTCCTTTCCCCACTGCAAACCTCACCTCCGCCACTCTCTGCTGCCCCGTCGACCGCGGCTACCTCATAAACCCAGACCTCCAAACCTCTCTCTGGTCCCACATCTTTACTAATGTCCTCCACATCACTCCATCTTAGTCCTCTCTCCTCTTAACTGAACCCCTCTTCAACCTACCCTCTATACAAAGATCAATGGATGAGATTGTTTTCGAAGAGTTCAATTTCAATTCACTATTTGTCACTGACCCACCAGCTTTAGTCCACCTTTATGAGGCCTCAAGAAGGCCTTATGGGTTGGTGTCAAAAACGCAGTGTAGTCTTGTGGTGGACTTTGGGTTTTCTTTTACCCATGCAATTCTCGTGTTTCAGAACTACACTATGAACTTTGCTGTGAAAAGATTGGATTTGGGTGGAAAGGCATTGATCAATTACTTGAAGGAGCTGGTGAGTTATAGGGCAGTGAATGTTATGGATGAGACTTTTATTATGGATGATGTTAAAGAGAAGTTGTGCATTGTCTCGCTTGATGTTGCGCAAGATTTGCAGATTGCAACGTATTAGTATCACAATTTGAACTTGGTTTTTGGCTGATTTATGTGTTGTTTCAGTTTAATAGAATGCTTTTTTGGTTGGTTTGTAGTGTTGTGTTCATGCATTGGTTAGCTTTTTTGCCCGAGTTCTTTCAATTCTCTTGAGTAATAACCTTAATTTACAAGTTGGTTTTTTCTCTGTTTAGTAGTGTAACAAGTGAAATGAATTTATAATTTGTGGATTGTGTAATGAAATGATTGTACATATTTTATAATGAAATGCTATGATGTTAAGGAGTGATATAATGAGAGGATTCTACAATGAAATGATGCTAAGAAATGATTGTTTGTTATGAAGATTGTTCAACAAATGCTATAATGTGAATCATTTATTCTTACATTGTCCTCTGGCACTCTCACTATGTAACAATCTATTTAGCTATATGGGTCATTGTTGGGTGGCACTTAGAACTATGTTTTCTATGGTTGGTATGGAAGTGTGAGCGGGGCTAGGGGTGGGCTCCAACTCAGACCTTATATAACTCCGTTCCGACTCCGTCTTGCGAAGGCAAAACGAAGCTTCGGAGTTTGCTTCCCTTGTTCTCCCACTCTCTCTCCCCCCTTAGTTTTTTGCCCTAACTTTGCCTTCTTCATTGCAAATCAACTATAAATCCACTGTAGATTTCGTTACTTTTGTTTCCCCTTCTTCTACTCCTATATCCCTCATCTTACTTACTGAAAAATAAGCACAAACATAGTACAATTTGCAAACAGAGCGTCACCACCAACACATCTCCATTGCTCGAAGAAGAAACAGATCTAAAAAAGGACCTCAAATGTAATAGATAAAAATCGATGATACCTCTCACTAAAGATTAAATTTGATATTTCTGAACTTGATCTCCCAATCTTCCTGTTCTGCAAAACAAACAAATTATCCAAGATCGAAGTGCTTCGATCCAAGGCATTCCGATGCTTAAGTCAGTAATGGAATTGAGACAATTGAAAGAAGACAAGGAGAATTCAGCGTACCTTTTATTATGGTTCATTGTTCATTTTATAGATCCCTCTTTGATTAGGGTTTCCATGATTTTCGTTTCAAGGTGGCAAAAATTCCTTTCATTTAGCGATTTAGTTTGGTTATCTACTGAAATCTTTCTGGCAGTTTCCTTGACCTAGAATCAAGCTCATTAGCTTATCTTGGATGCCTAAGTTATAAGCGAATCTTTATCTTTCTATCTACTATTTGAAACAACTCGGTCATAACGAGCACCGACCTCTTTCATTACTCCCTGACTCATTGAGCAACATGGTTTGGTAAGAGTCGAGCTCCTTTACTACTTGCTGAGCTTATTGACCAGTTTGCCTAGGCCTATTTGTCTCAGTGACTTATGCCCCCTATTCACGTGTCTTGTCTTGTCATCCTCACGTGAGCTCATTTAATGTCATAACATGTGTAATAAAGGGAACCACTCCCTTCATTTGCCTCCAGAAAACGTCTGACAGACGCCTTTCGTATGTCAATCATTTTATGCCTCCTCGTCATCATTGCACGTACTTCGTGACATCTCCCTTTATTTTGGCGGCTTGCTTTGTATTTAAATATTTTCTTTTAGAATTATCCTTCTTTATAAACGATTTCTCTTCGTTTTCTTGTCACTTTGCCTTCTCAGTCTTAGATTCATCTCTTTCTTCGTATCTGCACTACCTTTCTTCTTTTTGCGTTCATCTTCCTCAATGGCACCTCTCACCTCTTCAGAAATCCCAGTTTTCAGAGTAAAATATAACGTTCCAAGCGACGTTGAGATAAGGGTTGCTGGAAAGGATGAACCCTTAATAGGCACAAGGGAGAGTATCTCCATTCTTACTCGTGCCATCACTGAGGGTGGAGTTCGATTTCCCCTTGATCCTTTCTTCCTCTGGGTTTTCTCAGCCGCAAAGCTTTGCGCCCTCCAATGTTGTCCCAATTTCTTTAGGATAGTGATGGGGGTATCTGCTTTGAACAAGCTTTTGGGCCTAAATCTGGGTTTTTGTATTATTATATCATCAAGCTTGCTGGTGACAATTACTACCTCGCTGTCAGGAAGAAGGAGCGATATCTAGTAACCCATCTTCTTGACTCGAATAAGGGTCATGAAAATGATGTGATTTTTGTTTCCGGCAATTGGGAATATACAGCTGATGCCACTCCATCATATTGCTGCCCTTATGAAGAAGGTGTTCTAGGTATTTGAATCTTTTACTCTTCCAAATTGGCTTTTTTTTTTTGGCTCTACCGCTTTTCTGACATAAGACTTCCGTGTAAAGGAGAGACTGTGAAAGGCAGGGTTCCTGAGTCTTTTGTGAAGATGGACCAACTTAAAAGAGTTTGGGACTTCAATGAATCTTTGTTTTGCCGAGCTGCTCATACGCTACTGGGATACATGCCAACCTATACTTCGTTCATTGTTGTGCCGAACCAACCAAACGTAACTCTTGTCGCAGATCGAGAGGCCATCCAAACTGCTCGGGATCAGACACCTCAAGCAAGGAAGAAATCTTCCCTTGCAGCTTCTGGACGCAGGACGGTGAAGAATTTTTTAGATTTTTTGTCAATTGTTGATCTAACTCCATCCACTGAACCGATTCCTACAACTTCTGTGCCTCCAATCATTGTTCCTGAGGAGCCTACTATAGAGGTTTTTGCCAAAGCGGTTCTTCCCGAGCCCGATGATGCAAGTTTGCCCATTGGTGACCAAGCAGGCTTGGCTCGAGCCGTTAAAACTTCTATTCCAATTGAGATAGACCCTCTAGAATCTATTCATTCCCCCTTCCAACAAGATGATTCAATCTTTGAGCTTGCCGAAGACCTTGCCCCGAAAAGGCGAAGGGTTGTTGAGTCCGAGGCGAGCCTCTCCCCCAAACCCGTCAATCCCCCTTTCTGATCTATCCTCAGGACAAAAAGGAGAGAGATCATTACAAAAGATTCTGCAGTTAAAGATTTCAACGTCGTAGTAGGAATTGCTCGGGGCATGATTTTGCCTCGGGATTTGACTATACACGAGACTCTTACTGATGATGAAGTGTCTCGCTAAGCCATTCAACACATGGTTCTGGTAAGACTTGTTCTTTTAGTCCTTCCTTCTTTTCTTTAAGTTTTTTCTTCAAAATTTTTCTAAGTCTATTTTTTTCAACCAAAGGTCTGCAAAAAGTACATGAGGTCGGGGCTAGGATAGCCAAAAAGGATAAGGCTATGAAAGATGCTATCCATGCCCGAGCTTCAGCCCTGACCAAGAAAGAATTCGTGGATGAGGAGTATATGAAAATCTGCAAAAAAGCTAAGGTTCTGTAGGCTCAAAATCAAAGCCTGTCAGAGGAGAACCAAAAACTTCAAGCAGAAATTGGAAAGTTGAGAGACTTTGAACATGAAGCTAGCATAGAGCTCTCCCAAGCCCAACTTGATTATACAAGTCTTCTTGAAGAGTTCGATCAATTCAAATCTAAGGCAAAGGAAAGAGAAGATGCTACATATGATGAAGGAGTTGACAAGGCAGAGAATGATCTGGCTCTGCAGATTCCCTAGCTTCGAGATGAATTCTTCAGCCAGGGCTAGCAAGCTGCCGAGATCCCTTCTTCGTTTGAACTTTTCTCCAGGCTTCCTCTTTTGAGCACTTCCCAACCTCCAGCCTCCTAAAACACTTAGAAGATTTTCTTTTTTGCAACTTCATATGTAAATGTTCAAAGATCTGTGTAATCTTTGAAGTTTGAATGAAAATCACTTTTTGACTTTTTTGTTCCTGAAATTTACTGTATGTTTGGAAAAAATGTGACTTTTGAAGTCTGTGGCCTTTGTTCGGCCTTTCTTCGAGGGTTCGGTTCCTTAGTAGGAACCTATACTTAGAAACATTATATACTCTTTGAATTTTTGGCCCTTCTTCAAAGAGTTTGGTTCTTGTACTATAGAAAAAATTTAAACTCTGGAAGTGATGGCTCTTGCTTGGCCCTTTTTCAAAGAGCTCGGTTCCTCAACAGGAACCCAAAGATACTTGAAAAAAATTTTAACTCTAGAAGTTATGGTCTTTGCTCGGCCCTTCTTCGAAGAATTCGGTTCCTCAACAGGAACCTAAACATACTTGAAAAAAATTTTAACTCTCGAAGTTATGGTTCTTGTTCGGCCCTTCTTTGAAGAGCTCGGTTCCTCAACAGGAACCTAAACATACTTGAAAAAAATTTAACTCTCGAAGTTATGGCTCTTGCTCGGCCCTTCTTCGAAGAGTTCGGTTCCTCAACAGGAACCTAAATATACTTGAAAAAAAATTTCAACTCTCGAAGTTATGACCCTTGCTCGCCCCTTCCTCGAAGAGCTCGGTTTACAGTAATTGGACTCAAATCTATTCTTGATCGACTAACATCATCATGCCTAGTTGAGGGCATGGATTAGATCGAGTGGCTGCGCTTGATTTAAGTCTGTAACTTCTATCAGGATTTTTTGCCTCCCTGCCTTAACAGTAGGACATATATAACAATAGAAGAAATAAGGAAATGAATCTTCAAAAAATCTTTATTCATGACCCTTGTTCATATCAGTACATTTGTTCAACCCTGATTCATTCTTAAGGGGCACCCTTAAGCTTCCGAAGATACTTCAGAGTTCTATTTAAAAAGACATTTTTTAGAAATAGAATTGTCTCGAGTTAGTAGAATTTTAGGGGCATGGTACTGCTTTACTGTCCAAGATTTCGAGCTCATAATAGTCACTACCTCCTACTCGGACCACCCTGTATGGACCTTCCCAGTTCGTTCCAAGCTTCCCATGTGTTGGGTTCTTAGCTGATCCGAGTACCCGTCTAAGAACCAAGTCTCCAAGTGCGAAAGATCTAGGATTAATCTTTTTGTTGTAAGCTCGGGACATTTGATGGCGATAAAAAGTCATCCTTATAGCTGCTTGTTCTCTTTTCTCTTCTGTCATATCAAGATCTCGGGTGATAACGACATTGTTATTGTTGCTATCGACCAGCTCGGTTCTCAGGGTTGGCAGGCCGATCTCTAATA